TCCATTTCCCTCCCCCTAGCTTCTGGTGGTCGCCAGCAATCCTTGGTGTTCCTTGGCATACAGCTGCATAATTCCCGTCTGTCTCCTTCTTCATATGGCTGTCTTCCCTCTGTGTCTGTGTCTGCACATGGCATTCTCCTCACTCTGGGTGTCTGTCTCTCCTCAGCTTCTAAGGACACCAGTCAAATTGGATTAATACTCTATTGCAGTATGACTGCATGTTAATTTACATCTTAATTACATCTGCAAACACACTACAGCTGACCCTTGCACAACACGGGTTCGTGAACTGTGCTGGTCCACTTACAGGTGGATTTTTTTCAGGAAATCTATAAACTGACAGTATCAATGAGACATGTTTTCTATTCCTTATGATTTTCTTAATAACATTTTCTTTTCTCCAGCTTACTTTATTTATAAGAATACAGTATATCATAGGCACAATGTACCAAATCTGTGTTAACATACAATTGATGGTATTGGTAAGGTTTCTGGTCAACAGTAGGCTATTAGAGTTAAGTTTGCAGGGGGCGGGGTGTCAAAAATTATACATGGATTTTCAGCTGCACAGGGAGTCAACTTGTCTTTCACTTTTCTGGTAGTGTCTTTTAATGAATACAGTTCTTGGTTTTCAGAATGATCTAATTTTTCCGTAGTGAAGAATCCTTTCAGTGAACTGTTTAAATAAACTGTTTTTTTTTTTTTTTATTAATCCCAGGGTCATGAAGATTGCCTCCCATATTCTTATTTAAGAACTGTTTGATTTTACCTTTTATATTTACATCCAGGCTACCTAGAATTGATTTTTGTGTAATATAGATAGGAATCAAGATTCATGCTCTTTGTTTTAACTTAGATATCTAGTTGACCCAGGACTGGTTCTTTTTCTTTCTTTCTTTTTTTTTTTTTTTTTTTTGGTAAAATGATTTTTTCTCTTGCTTTACAGAGTGCCACTGTTGTGTGTTGTGTGTCATAAATCAAGTGAGCATTTACATTTGGGTTGTCTTTCAACTCTATTCCGTTGTATTGTTCTATTTTTTTCTCCTTGTGCCCATAGCACAGTCTTCAGTCCTGGAGCTTTTCAAAAGTCTTGCATCCAGTGGCATCAGTTCTTCCATTTTTTTCTTCTTCAGGATTGTTTTACCTGCTGTTGGCTCTTTACATTTCCGTGTAGGTGATAGAATCAGTATGTCCATTTCCACAAACAAATCTATCGATATTTTGATTTGTATTGCGTTGATCTATAGACTAATTTAGGGAATCTTAATGTCTTTATAATTTTGAGGCTTCTAGTATAAAATGCGGCATATTCTTAATTTTCTGTAAGTCTTTAACTTTCAAGCTCTGAGGGTTTTATAGTTTTCTGTTATTTATCTTGTATATCTGCATTACATTTATTCTTTGTTTTTTTTTAATATTACTCGGTATAGTTGTTAAAGATACATACTTTTTAAAGTTTTACTTAATAATTATTTGTTCTGGGGCGCCTGGGTGGCTCAGTCGTTTAAGCGGCTTCCTTTAGCTCTGGTCATGATCCCGGGGTCCTGGGATCGAGCCCCACATCAGGCTCCCTGCCTGGCAGGGAGCCTCATTCTCCCACTCCCCCTGCTTGTGTTCCCTCTCTTGCAGTCTCTCTCTCTGTCAAATAAATAAATAAAGTCTTAAAAGAAAAAGAAATATAATTGAATCATGTATGATTTTAAGTTTTCTCGTAGACACATTAAGAAGTAAAAAGAAACAGATGAAATTAATTTTAATAATATATTTTATTTAACTAAAATACCAAAATATTATTTCAACATGTAGCAATATAAAAATTATCAAAGAGATTTTTACATCCTTTTTTCATACTAAGTCTGCTAAATTTGTTGTATTTTACATTTACAACATATCTCAATTTATTTATTTATTTATTTTTAAAGATTTTTATTTATTTGACAGAGACAGACACAGTGAGAGAGGGAACACAAGCAGGGGAAGTGGGAGAGGGAGAAGCAGGCTTCCCGCTGAGCAGTGAACCTGATGGGGGGCTTGATCCCAGGATGCTGGGATCATGACTTGAGCCACCCAGGCACCCAACACATCTCAGTTTAGAGTGCCAATGTTTCAAATGCTAAGTAACCACATGTGGCTAGTCACTAGTTTTGGACAGTGTAGATCTAGAGGATGAGTCATACTTTTTAAATAATTGATTGTATGTATAACAGTTTGATTATATGTATGTATAATCAACCAATTACACATATAATATGTATAATTATATATATATACTGTACAATACACATCAAATGTATATTATACATATAATGTGTATAATGTGTGTAATTATATATATGATTTCTTTTTTTTAGATTTTATTTATTTATTAGAGAGAGCGGGAGAGAGAATGAGTGGGCGAGGGGCAGTGGGAGAAGCAGGCTCCCTGCTGAGCAGGGAACGAAATGCAGTGCTTGATCCTGGGGCTCCAGAATCATGATGTGAGCTGAAGGCAGACGCCCAACTGATTGAGCCACCCAGGCGTCCCTCTATATATGATTTCTAATGGAGTCACTGAAGAAGCCTCTACTGTCATGATTAGATTTTCAAGAAAGGTTTTACTGAAAAGGTGTCATTTGCATGTCTTGAACTATGAATATAAATTTACCAGGTGAAAAAAAAAATAAATTTACCAGGTGAACAAAATAGGCAAAAGCAATAACATGTAAAATTGTGATGTTATATAAGAGTGGAATTTGTTCAGAGGCCCCTGGTTGGCCCAGTCAGTTGGGTTGGCTAACTCTGGATTTCAGCGCAAGTCATGATCTCACGGTCCTGGGATTGAGCACTGCATCGTGCTTCCTGCACCGTGCTTCCTGATCGGGGTGTGGGGGGGGAGTCATCTTCTCCCTCTTCCTCTGCCCCTTCCTACCCCCCTTCTCATGCACCAGAGCAGGCGAACTCTCTCGAACTTACAACCCTGAGATCAAGAGTCTCATGCCCTACCGACTGAGCCAGCCAGGCGCCCAAGTTTACTTTTTTTTTTTTTTTTTAAGATTTTATTTATTTATTTGATAGAGAGAGATCACAAGTAGGCAGAAAGGCAGGCAGAGAGGGAGAGAGGAGGAAGCAGGCTCGCCGCTGAGCAGAGAGCCCAATGCAGGGCTCGATCCCAGGACCCCGAGATCATGACCCTAGCCGAAGGCAGAGGCTTTAACCCACTGAGCCACCCAGGCGCCCCAAGTTTACTTATTTTTAAGCTTTTATTTTCTGTTTTTCTCCCATGTCCTGGGGATATGAGTCACCCTGGCTCACAAGGTATTTGAGGTGAGGTGAAGAAAGCTACAGGCAGCTTTGGGCCTAGTTTGTGCCTCTCCTGCTCGATTTAGAGAATGAAGGTGGGCATTGGGTTGGGAGGGAAGACTTACCCAGGGTCATTACACTGTGAAATCCCTTCCAAGGCCCAGCCCTTTTCAGGTCTGTTTCCCTCTGCTAAAACCTCCTACCCCACCGAGCGCAGAAAGCACTGGTGAGAAGCGGGAGCATGTGGACATGCAGAGTCCACGCAGTACCACGCGTGCAAGTCCCTCCACTGCTAGTTCCACGGCACCCACTTGTTCTCTGCAGCCCCTGGACATTTTTAGGCTTCCTGACAATCTTCCTGCCCTGTAGCCACAATTGCCCGTTCAAGAAAATGTTGGAGAGAAAAATATTTACCAAAATAACTGCACCACACCCTGACTCTCATCTCTGGTGTCCGGCTGTTGTCTGTTCTGCTTGTATTTTCACCCTGCATTAGGACCAGATTTCTGTATGTTGTTACGGGTGTTTCTGTCCATATGTAAACACAAATGAATATTTTTATTTAGTATAGGTCCATACTACACATACTATCCAGCAACTTGCTGTTTTTTCAAATGGCTTGATTACCATGATTGATTACATATGAAGATAGTTTGGATTTAACAAAATGTATCTTTAATGTGTATGTGTGTATGTGTGTGGTTTCTATACCCATTTTACACTGAGGTGTCTGCATGTTATCACCTTCTCTTAAATATAATTTTAAGTTAGTGACAGGGTACAGTGCCGTTATTAGCATTGTGTGAAGCACTTTATTTTTTTTTAAAGATTTTATTTATTTATTTGACAGACAAAGATCACAAGTAGGCAGAGAGGCAGGCAGAGAGAGAGGAGGAAGCAGGCTCCCTGCTGAGCAGAGAGCCTGATGCGGGGCTCGATCGCAGGACCCTAGAATCATGACCTGAGTCGAAGGCAGAGGCTTAACCCACTGAGCCACCCATCAAGAGTCCACTAACTTGTGTGAAGCACTTTTTAAAAAAATATTTTATTTATTTGAGAGAGAGAGAGCACACAAGCAGGAGAGGCAGAGAGAGAGAGGGGGAGAGAACCTCATGCAGACTGCATGCAGAGCACAGAGGCTGACATGGGGCTCCGTCTCGACCGTGAGACCATGAGACCATGATCTGAGCTGAAACCAAGAGCTGGGACACTTAACCGAATGAGCCACCCAGGTGCCTTGTAAAACACTTGATAATTGCCCTCTTTGGTTCTTTTAGGTTGTTACCAGTTTTTAAATATTATGATACTAAAAATTATAGATAAAAATTATAGATAGAGTGTTTTACATTTATCGATCATTTTCTAGGATGGATTTACAGAATGGATCCAAAAGATAAATAGATCGGAAGGATCAACATTTTGTTTCTTAACCATGTAGAGGAGGACTTGGAACATAATAGGCATCCAATTAATGCTTATTGGGTGAACGAATATTAACAAAAATTTACTTTCCAATATGGATGTACCAGTTTTCATTCCTACTATCAATATGAGCTTGTCTGTTTTCCCACACCATCTTGTACTTATGTTATTTTGATGATTTGACTGTGATCAGAAGAATCCTATATGTATCTTGAAAAAAATGCTCAGATAATATAACTAAGATATGTTTCCCTTTTTATTTTCACCTACTGGATTAATGGACGGATGTTTTCTTACAGGACTGAATTTGTGCTTAAAGAAATCATGTCTTCTGGAGGTGCTGAAGATGATATCCCACAGGGAGAGAGGAAAACAGTTACAGATTTTTGTTACCTTCTAGATAAGTCTAAGCAACTGTTCAATGGATTAAGGTTAGTGGACTCTTGATGCCTTAAACTTTTCTCTAGTTCTGTACTTTTTTCCATGGCTGGTATGTGGTAAGTTTCTGAAAGTTATGGGTAGACTGTTCTATAAATACGTGAATTAGAGGTTATCATACTTTTTTCTGTGACACACTTCATTCTCAGATGAAAAAACAATAGGAGAAAGGAGAATTTCTATTGTTTTATTCAAGTTGAGAATAATTATTTTGTTAAATGATTTTATGTACATTGTTCCACATCATTCCTGATGTACATCTGATTTTAGACACTGGGGTATTGACGTTATTATTTCTTTTAAGAAGACATTTACAGTTATAAAGATAATTACAGGATCACCAAATGAATCCTCCGGGACCACTATCTAAAGCTACACTTCCGGGGCGTCTGGGTGGCTTAGTGGGTTAAGCCTCTGCCTTCAGCTCAGGTCATGATCTCAGGGTTCTGGGATCGAGCCCCGCATCGGGCTCTCTGCTCAGCAGGGAGCCTGCTTCCCCCTCTCTCTCTGCCTGCCTCTCTGCCTTCGTGTGATCTCTGTCTGTCAAATAAATAAATAAAATATTTTTTAAAAAACCGTACACTTTCAATCACTTTATCCCTATATTCATTTAATTTTTTTTTTTAGATTTTATTTTGAGAGAGAGAGAGCGAGAGAGAGAGCATGAGCAGGGGGGCTGTATAGAGGGAGAGGGAGAAGCAGACTTCTCACTGAGCAGGGAGCCCGACGTGGGGCTCAATCCCAGGACTCAGGGATCGTGACCTGAGTGGAAGGCAGGCGCCCCTAATTTTTTTTTTTAAATAAAACTCATCACTGTCTTGAGCAGTCTTATTAATTTGCTTTATAATGTCTTCCTACCTAAAATTAAATGTTCCCGAGAGCAGAACCCTACGTGTCACAATTTCTCTAGTAAGTAAGCCAGGGTCTGGCCCACAGCAGATGCTTCATAAACATTTGTTAATGAAGGATTCCCAAGACAGTGTTCACTCCTACACTCTGCTGCTTCCTATTTTGTGCTATAAAAGAATCTTTGAGATCCGCTTTTGCTAACAATCAGATTAATTGCATCTTTTTTTTTTTTTTAAGATTTTATTTACTTACTTGACAGACAGAGATCACAAGTACGCAGAGAGGCAGGCAGAGAGAGAGGAAGGGAAGCAGGCTCCCCGCTGAGCAGAGAGCCCGACGCGGGGCTTGATCCCAGGGCCCTGGGATCATGACCTGAGCTGAAGGCAGAGACTTTAACCCACTGAGCCACCCAGGCACCCCTAATTGCATCTTTTTAAAGAATTATTTTCATTATTAAAATTCAAAAAAATGAATTTTATAGCCTAGGTTTTTTTTTTTTTTTAAAGATTTTATTTATTTATTTGACAGACAGAGATCACAAGTAGGCAGAGAGAGAGAGAGAGGAAGCAGGCTCCCCGCTGAGCAGAGAGCCCGATGCGGCGCTCGATCCCAGGACCCTGAGATCATGACCTGAGCCGAAGGCAGAGGCTTTAACCCACTGAGCCACCCAGGTGCCCCTATAGCCTAGGTTTTAAGTCATCTTCCCCCCAACCCCGCCCCGGAATATCATAAATCTTTAAAATTCACATGTTTAGGTTTTTTTCCTCCTTGGTCTCCAGTATTATCCAGGTGAACCTTTTTATTCAGCATTTATTTGAGCCCTAGTATGTGCCACATTCTATGTTGGGTACAGAGAATTCAAAGATAGAACTACCAATCCCTGCCATCGAATAGTCTGGGATGAAATTATAAAAACACAAATCTGTAGCCTCAGATTTAGTATATCTGTTAAGCAAATTTCCCACACACCTCTGTGTGCTTGTTGAAATTAAGGCAGCTAAAGTTAAAGTGGTAGTAGATTTAAAAGTAATGCATGAAAATCCTGTGTGACTCCCAAACTCTTATTTTTGACTCTTAAAACATTAACAAGGTTATGGGAGCTCTGAGCCCTCCTCCTCCTCCTCGCTCTTCTCCCCTTTTTTCTCCCCTCTGCCACCTCTTCTCCCTTCTAATTTATAGAGCTGCATATCATATAAAAAAATTCACCCAGAGTTTATAATTAAATGATTTAGTAACCTTTTCAGAGTTGTATAATATCATCATTATCTAATTTTAGAACATTTAATCATCCCCAGGAGAAAGCCCTTACCCCTTAGCTGTGACTCCCCCCTTCCCCGGTCCTCAGCCCTTGGGACCCGACCACTAATCTACGTTTTGTCTCTATGGATTTCCCTATTCAGGATACTTTGTATAAATAGAATCATACAATGTGTGGTCTTTCGGACTGGCTTCTTTCCTTTAATGTGTTTTTGAGGTTCATCTACGTAGTAACATGTATCGGTACTTCATTCCTTTTATTGCAGATTAATATTCTATCATACAGATATACCACACTTTGTCTATCTAATGAACAGTTGTAGGCATTCGAGTTATTTTGCACTTTTTGGCTGCTACAAATAATACTGCTATGAGCATTTTTGTACAAGGTTTTGTGTGGACCTTTGTTTTTTAGTTCCTTTGAGTACACACTGTGGAGTGAAATTACTGGGTCACATGGTACTCTGTGTTTATCCTTTTGAGGAACTTCCAGACTTTTTCAAAGAGGCTGCACCACCAGCCATGTGTAATGCTTCCAGTGTCTCCACATCTCACCAACACTTGTTATTGTCTGCTTTTTTAAGATTTCTTTTTTTTTTTTTAATTTAAGTAATCTCAACACCCAGTGTGGGGCTCTAACTCATGACCCCGAGATCGAGTCACATGCTCTTCCAACTGAGCCAGCCAGGTGCCCCCTTAAGATTTCATTTTATTTTATTTTTTATTTTAAGTAGGCTCCACACCTGACATAGAGCCCAACGCAGGGCTTGAACTCATGACCCTGAGATCAAGATGAGCTGAGATCAAGAGTCGGATGCTTAACCAACTGAGCCATGCAGGCACCCCAAGATTTTATTTTATTTTATATTATTTTTAAAGATTTTATTTATTTATTTGACAGACAGAAATCACAAGTAGGCAGAGAGGCAGGCGGGGGTGGGGGGAAGCAGGCTCTCCGCTGAGCAGAGAGCCCAATGCGGGGCTTGATCCCAGAGATCATGACCTGAGCTGAAGGCAGAAGCTTAACTCATTGAGTCAGCGGCACCCCCAAGATTTTATTTTTAAGTGATCTCTACACCCACCCATTGTGGGGCTTGAACTTACAACCGTGAGACTGAGAGTCATATGTTCCACTGACTGAGCCAGCCAGGCACTCCTATTTTCTGTCCTTTGGATGAAAGTCATTCTTGTGGGTTTGGGGTGGTATCTCATTGTGGTTTTGTTATATTTCCCAAGTGACTAATGATGTTTGGCATCTTTTCATGTGTGTATTAACCAAATGTCTTTTTTTTTTTTTTTTTTTTGAGATAGAGCAAGCTCACCTTGTGGGGAAGGAGGGCCAGAGGGAGAGATAGAGAGAATCTCAAGCAGCCCCTACACCCAGCCTGGAGCCTGATGTGGGGCTTGATCTTAAGACCCTGAGATCATGACCTGAGCCAAAATCAAGAGTCAAATACTTAACAGATAGATCCGCCCAGGCACCCAGCCAAATGTCTATTCTAATCCTTTGATCATTCTTCCAATTGGGTTATTTATCCTCTTAAGTTATAGTTGTTCTGGATACAGGTCCTTTGTGAGTTGTAATGATTTGCAAATGTGTATTTTTCCATTCAGTGGGCTGTCTCTCCACTTTCTTGATGGTGTCGTTTGAAGCAGAAGCTTTTAAAGTCCCACTTGTTATTCTTCTCTTTCATTGTTTGTGCTTTTAGTGCTTTGTCTAAGAAATCATTGCCTAACCTGAAGTCATCAAGATTTACTCCTGTTTTCTTCTATTACGCTGCTCGCTCTCATATTTAGATCTGTGAACCATTTTTAGTTAATTTTTGCATATGGTGTGAGGTCTTAGACATTTTTTTAAATCAGAAAACATTTTTTTTTCAATTGAATATTGCACTTCTTTCATATTTTTCTTTCTTGTTCCTTGTTCCCCCTCCTTGTTTATGTTCTTGTAATGCTTACATTGAATATTCAGCCCAAATCCTCTGCAGCAATCTAGTCGCTCGATTTTCGTCTGTTCTTTTCTTCATCACTTTCAGAAAATGTCTCTGAAATTTGTCCACTAAATATCATATTTCTTTTTTTATTCATTTACTATTTACAAGATATATTTCTTCTTGTAATTTCATATCAGCACTTTTTTGCTATACTGCTTTTCAAAAACTAGGTATTACATATTTGACCCAAAGTTTGCTTGTTCTCTGTATATTCTTTTTTTTTTAAGATTTTATTTATTTATTTGACAGACAGAGATCACAAGTAGGCAGAGAAGCAGGCAGAGAGAGAGAGGAGGAAGCAGGCTCCCTGCTAAGCAGAGAGCCGGATGCGGGGCTCGATCCCAGGACCCTAAGACCATGACCTGAGCTGAAGGCAGAGGCTTAACCCACTGAGCCACCCAGGCGCCGCTGTTTTCTGTATATTCTTATTTGAATGTAAGAATGAGTATAGTATGAGTATGAGTATGTTTTCACTCATTATGTCTGAGAAGCATATTGGATTTAGCAATGTCATTTCCCTTCTTCTTTTTTTTTTAAATTTATTTATTTGACAGAGAGAGAAATCACGAGTAGGCAGAGAGGAGGCAGAGAGAGAGGGAGAAGCAGGCTCCCTGATGAGCAGAGAGCCTGACTCGGGGCTCCATCCCAGGACCCTGGGACCATGACCCCAGCCGAAGGCAGAGGCCCAACCCACTGAGCCATCCAGGTGCCCTGGCATTTCCCTTCTTAAAAAGGAATTATTTTCCTAATTTGATTCTGAATCATAAATGAATCTTAAAGCTCAGGTAATCTCCTGCTAGAGACTCTCTGCCTGGGTAGCATCATTCTATAACTACTACAACAGTAACAGTAACATACATTTCCACATAGCACCATACAGTTTATAAATCATT